TCAAGGTGATTGATTGGGACGAGAGAGATTTCTTGTTGGAAAAGCTCAAGAATGTGACGGAACAGCAGCTGTCGCAACGTCACTTGACTACAGTGGGGCCGTACTACTCCCTCCTCTCTCCCTTCGACTCTGAGCAGATGCTTGGAATCGCTGAGTCTCATGCTATTCGAGCACTAGAGAAGGTACAGGGAGGGGGAGGATGTGCAGATCGTCTTTCACCTCCCCTGCCTCTCCATCGCCTTGTTCTCACAAGCTATTCTAACAGGTTCGGTACAAGATCCCGTTCCTCCCCTCGTCGTTTGGCCTGGAGCTCGAGCCTCCGCTCCATCGGCTCCGTATCGGATACATGATGGCAGACTTTCGGCACCATGTGACTGCTCATCTGCTGCAGGTAGGGTGTAGGATCAATGTTGTGCTGGTTGACCTCCTGCCCAGACTGTCTTCCAACGACATGATGAGGAGCGCTTCGAAATCTTCTGCTACGCCCTGAACAAGGTCTGCCATTTGGACCCTCGGGTTCCCTTGCCGTTCTGATTGCCCAGCTGCAAGGACGACCGATCTGCTTTCCGGAGGAAAATCAGGAAGAGGAGGAGGAGGAGGAGGAGGAGGAGGAAGAGGAAGAGGAAGAGGAAGAGGAAGAGGACGAGGAGGGAGAGGCGGGGGGTTAGGCGGGGAGGGAACCTGAAGTGGGAAGAGGGGAAGGAGGAAGGAAATGACTGTCTGCAAGGTGAGGCAGCTGGAGGGATCGCTGAAGCCCGCGGTGAAGGAGCTGGAGGAGGCGGCGGCTAGGCTAGAGGCCTTGGCTCGACGATGAGGATGGGAGTGAAGGTTGATAAACCCTTGACGCCAACTGTGTGGAGGAGGGAGGACGGAACTTGTTCCACTGACTGGCAAACGAGCTGTGGATGTGACAGTTTATGCCCCTCGTCCTCGTCCTCTTCCTCTTCCTCTTCCTCTTCCTCTTCCTCCTCCTCCCAGACTCATTTCTAAGTTTGTCATGACCTTGACTTTCCACTCCGTCTGACACCACCACCTCCCTCGCCTCCTGTAGCTCTAGAAGGGCCACAGGTCTAGCATCTTGTAGCGAGGCGTGCGGGGGATGGGAAACGGGCGCCGCTCCTCCTCTACTCTCTTCGCCCACTCCACCAGCAGCTCGTTGAACTCCTGCGGCCTCTCGTCGTGCGCGCAGTGACCCCCGTCCATCCACTTGAGCTCCAAGTCTGGTCGGCACTCCTGCGCTGCGGTGAGAGGGCGAGCGAGCAGGAGGGGAAGGAAGCGAGAAGGAGAAGGAGGAGGTTCGCATGCACAGATTGAGGACGACGAAAGAAAGGAAGTGGAGGTAGAGGAGGTAGAGGGAGTAGAGGACGGGGTAGAGGGAGTAGAGGATGGGGTAGAGGATGGAGTAGAGGATCGGGTAGAGGATGGGGTAGAGGGGGTAGAGGATGGGGTAGAGGATGGAGTAGAGGATCGGGTAGAGGATGGAGTAGAGGGAGTAAAGGATGGGGTAGAGGATGGAGTAGAGGATGGGGTAGAGGATGGGGTAGAGGGAGTAAAGGATCGGGTGGAGGAGGTAGAGGATGGGGTAGAGGATGGAGTAGGGGGTAAGGAAAAAGAGGCAGAGGAAGAGAGATAGCGGCGGTGGAGGAAGGCGAGGTCAAGCAGAAGTACCTTGAGATCGAGCACGGAATTCGGAGGATAGATTTCATCGTTGCGGCCCCACACAGTAAGCAGAGGACCGCAATAACCAACTTCACCCTGTGAGAGCTGAGGGAGGAGCGTGAGCGGCAGCAGCGCAAGAGAGATCGAGACAGCAAGCGAGGGCGGAAGGAGAGTGAGGAACAGAAGACAACAAACCTCAAACACAAAAAGTTGGAAGAATGAGGGGAAGGGAGGGGAGAATGAGGGGTAGGGAGGGGAGAAGAGAGCGATGGGTAAGGAGAGAGGGAGGGAGAGAGGGAGGGAGGGAGGGAG